CATTTTACTTATTAAGTTACTGGTAAAACTATGTGCCATAACAATATCAAATTTATATGATGCCTGAAGGTCGTCTTCCTGTACCAAAGTGTTTTGGTTTCCCACTGTACTGTATACCTGGGAGTTCTAACTGTGAATTCTGATAGATCCAGCACTGGAGGGTCGGGTCGACCAGCCTGCTGCAGGGTTAATGTGTACACTGGACTCCAGGTAGATACTCCAACCCTATAGTACAAGGTTAATGTGAACACTAGACGATTCAGGTAAAAATTCCAACCCTACAGTAAGTACTAAGATTAATGTGTACACTGGACTCCAGGTAGATACTTCAACCCTACAGTACAAGGTTAATGTGACTCCAGCTAGATACTTAACAACCATACGGCCTACAGTACAAGGTTAATGTGTACAATGTACTCCAGGTAGATACTCCAACCCTATAGTACAAGGTAAATGTGAACAGTGGACTCCAGGTAGATACTCCAACCCGGTACAGTACAAGACTAATGTGTACACTGGACTCCAGCTAGATAGTCCAACCCTACAGTACAAGGTTAATGTGACACCAGCTAGATACTTAACAATCCTACGGCCTACAGTACACGGTTTATGTCTACAATGTACTCCAGCTAGATACTTCAACCCTACAGTACAAGGTTAATGTGTACACTGAACTCCAGGTAGATACTCTAGTCCTGCAGTACAAGGTTAATGTGTACACTGAATTCCAGGTAGATACTCTAGCCCTGCAGTACAAGGGTAATGTGTACACTGGATTCCCGGTAGATAGTCCAGCCCTACAGTACAAGATTAATGTGTACACTGGACTCCAGCTAGATACTTTAACCCTACAGTACAAGGTAAATGTGACTACAGCTAGATACTTAACAACCCTACAGTACAAGGTTAATGTGTACAATGTACTCCAGCTAGATATTCAACCCTACAGTACAAGGTTAATGTGTACACTGAACTACAGGTAGATACTTCAACCCTACAGTACAAGGTTAATGTGTACACTGAACTCCAGGAAGATATTCCAACCCTACAGTGAAAGGTTAATGTGTACACTGGACTGCAGCTAGCTACTTCAACCCTACAGTAGAAAGGTTAAAGTGTACAATGCCTTCCAAGTAGGTGGTTAATAAGGATTATTATTAGTCTCTTATGCAAGCAAAGTGTTTGGTAAATACAAATATTGTGACCTTTTTTCTGTAAATTTAAAATAACTATTAAAGATTACAAAACAAATAGTTTGAAATAAAATCTACGTTATCTAAATAAATTTTATCTTTGTCAAGTTTCCAAAAAAAAAATTCTAAGACAATCTTAATGTTGTCTCTAAATTCACATTTTTTTTGACACATTTTATCTACCTGTTTCCTGCGCTGACCCTCACGGTATAAGTTCTAGCTGGAATTAAGTTTTCCAAGAAATATCTAAAACATAAGTTTTGTACAGTGAAACCCTCAATTTCGAATACATCGAAAGAATTTATCAAATGTCGTATTCTTCACTTTCTGATAATGGAATGTTGCAGATATTTAGTTTTTTAATTAAATGATTATATGGAACTCTTTAAAACTGTTCCCGCATATTCATGGCTATTTATTTATTTTCGCAAATACTGAAATTTACGTAATATCGTATAAAACTCATTGACAAATTTTCAAGACGACATTTGATAAATTCTTCCGATGTATTCGTTATTAAGGGTTTCACTGTAGATAATTGGTTTGTCTGACCATGGGACCAGATGACATGACCCTTTCAAAATTAAAAATAATTTCGATTTTATTTTTTAAATGGAAATCCATAATGAAAACTGACATCCTTCATTACATTTGTAACATTAAACGTTGAAATTTTAAATGAATCACTTTTTGTTTCAGTGTCACGCAAATTTAAAAAATGACGACAAAACTATCAGGCATTGCTTTGAAATTTTAGTATTAAAGGGACCGTGTTCGTAACTTTCAGGAATTGAGTCTTTGCTACAACTCAAATTGTTTAATCTTTATATTTTTGCAACTTTATGGTGTCCGTTACTGCACACCTTTCAAACTTAGACTTTTTGATCTTACAGAATTGATAGTTTGAAATATCAAAGGTCTATAATATTGGGTTGCAAAGATTAAGGGATAAGAAAATCTTGTGACACAGACTAAATTCCATTTGCCATGGTTTAGCTGAAGCAGAAATGCGCAAGTCTATTTTGCATAGGAACGACTATTGCAAACTGAAAAGAAAAATCTTATTCATGATTGATAAGACGAAGCCTTAAAGGGTAATGTTGTGAAACAGCTTGACATACTAATCTTCTTCAACTTTACAGTCCCTTTAACATAATAAATATGCACAGCATTCTTCTGGGGCATCTGAATTCCCACATGAACGTAGGGTCCAAACGGTTATAAGATGTTTTGACGTTTATAGGATACTTGCTGAAGTGCCCGGCGTTGTCCGTGGAATTAAAAGAAGAAAAAAATCTAATTTTGAATAATTTTTGTTTTCAGGCCAACGTTTTAGCCAGCTTTAGTGAAGAGCAGTATTATATAGACAAATAAATTATATACCAAACAGACAAACAAATTATATACCAAACAGACAAACAAATTATATACCAAACAGACAAAAAAATTATACCAAACAGACAAACAAATTATGTACGAAACAGACAAACAAGTTATATACCAAACAGACAAACAAATTATATACCAAACAGACAAAAAAATTATATACCAAACAGACAAAAAAATTATATATGAAACAGACAAACAAATTATATACCAAACAAACAAACAAATTATATACCAAACAGACAAACAAATTATATACCAAACAGGCAAACAAATTATATACCAAACAGACAAACAAATTATAAACCAAACAATTATATACCAAACAGGCAAACAAATTATATACCAAACAGACAAACAAATTATAAACCAAACAGACAAACAAATTATATACCAAACAGACAAACAAATTATATACCAAACAGACAAACAAATTAAATGCCAAACAGACAAACAAATTATGTACCAAACAGACAAACAAATTATGTACCAAACAGACAAAAAAATTATATACCAAACATAAAAATCAAGATATTACATTAATTTAATGTATTACTACTTTTTCCCATTTCAGATTAAAGCTGTATAAAATCCTATATTATCTGAAAACCAGAAGTTGACTTTTCAAATGATTAAATATTTAGATTTAGGCAAGTTTAAATATTGTGATGTTTAAATCGGATTTGTTTTTCCTCTCAAGGATTTGAATTTTAAAATCTTGGTTATTATACTTTAAATTCAAAATATTATATTTAAACAAAAAGTATAGGGGAGGGGGTAGGGTAGGCTTGGGTACCCCCTTGAAACAAAAACAAAAACAAAACCTCTGACAGGAGTCGTTCAGTGACCCTGAGTAATTCTCATAATGTAGAAGATATTGTCGTTTTTCTAGGCTAAAAAGTTTTTGATCATGATAACTCCTTTGTGTTTTCCTGCAGTAAAAATGCACAACTATCTTTTGTAGAGAAACCACAATTGAAAATAATCAGTTTTTAGAATTATAATTATTGATATCTACTTTATACCTGATCAGACGAGGGAGGGAAGGCACACCACATCTTTTTTTCGTCAGACCACAACTGACGTCACAATTCACCATTATTTCGTTCGACCACACCTTTCGTCCGGCATTGTTTACGTATTCATTTTTAAAGTACTTTACATTACCTTATTCGAATTTTGAGCAACTTCATGTCGTATATGATAATGGTTTAAAATATTCAAAGTGTACAAATCATGTAAATTATATGCAGTAGAGTACATTAATACAGTATGTTCCCTAGACTATTCATTTCAATTTCGATTTTTTTAAAGCTGCTAAATAAACTTTATAATCAATTAGGTGAATAAAAAACATCGTTTCATTTATAGTTATAGAGGAAAATCATCGTTTGTAAAGTGAAAGGCATAGAGTCTATGTGAAATGATCATTGGTCAATTATGAAACCAGCCATTTCATAATTTGGTCTTCTTTTAATATTAAATTTAGATTTTCTATAAAATGATGTTCCAGGGCCCAAAACGATATATAGCATACATATGTGAAGTACACCTGCAGTATGGAAACAGTACAACAAAAAAGGGCCTTTTCACATTTTTCTAGTATATTACCCGCTAATATATATTCTATTCTCGTTGAGAAGAACATCTTATGAAGGTTCAATAGGCATAACACAATTCAAGAAAATTTTTTTAAATTGTTGTTTCTGAAAATCTCATGGACTGTCACCTGCAAGTTGCAGATTAGGTGTAAAATAATAAAAAACAGAAAAGTGTGTGGTCTAGACAAAAATAGGTGTGGTCCGGACGAAAAATAAGAATTTTCTGTTTTGTGCTAATTTAGACTTAAATATCGTTTTATTTTCCGAACAAAATAAATTTTAAACAAAATCAATTCATGTTGAATAACATGACGTTGCTTAAATTGGAAAAAGTTTTAAAGACATAAAAATATACATTTGAAAACACGGAAGCAACACCTGAGTCTAAAACTAAAGAACGAAAAGTTCTGACTTAAATTTTAAGTTCATGGTTAAATGCCACTTCTGACTTAATTTAAACCTGAACTTTAACCTGATAGATGTATTTAGATAGAACAGATTAGAATAGAATGGAGTATTATAAAAGAATAAGACAAAATGATAGATGTATTTAGATAGAATAGATTAGAATAGAATGGAGTACCATAATAGGAGAAAATAAAATAATAGATTCAGATAGGATGGATTAGAATAGAATGGAGTGATGTATGGATTTTGAAAGAAAAAATATATATGTAATATTGGTTTAACTGTTCGATTCTGGTTTGTTTAAGTTAGTTAACTATTTTTTCTTCTGTGTATTTCTTTTTTTTCATATCAGTTGAACAAATCTGAATTTTTCAAGAAATTAAAGAAAATATAATTTGTAAAGTATTTTTTTACCTGTACTCCTTATATTCAGCTACATAGTAATCAATCGGGACTCCTCCTATCATCATATAAAAATATTATCAAGTATACTACGCAGTACGCACTGAGTGTCTTTAAAAACATTAGTGAAAACTAGGGCATCAATTCTCAACCGAATTTCGTTCTTTAGACGATGAAATAATCGACAAGACATTGTCCGGCCTTGTATAATTTTGCAACAAAGAAAATAAGTGTTTGCCACAAACTTAAATTTTCTAAACCCTATCTTTTCAACCTAGTGACGTAAACCCTATATCTTTTCAACCTAATGATGTAAACCCTATATCTTTCCAACCTAATGATGTAAACCTTTGAAATAGGGACTAGAAAATCAGAGTTTGTGGCAAAGACTTAATTACTTTAATTGACGCTTGAAAATTTGAAAATACTTTGAAGCATTTTTAGAGCTTTTTTCAGATTAATGCCACGCCTTAATTATTAAACAATTTTTAGTTTTTGTGACAGGTAATTAAAAATTTAATGTATAGAACCTTTTATCATGTTTGTAGCAAATTTAATTTTCCTATGTTTCTATTACTAAACAAATAATTCTGAAAAACATTAAATTGAAAATTTTAGACTGATGACATTTCCAAATAAAAATATAAAATTCGAATGAAAACCGACGCTCTGGCATCAATAACTCTGATAAAATACAATTTTCCATCGACTTCCTACAAGGTTAGTGTTTGTCTTACTGAAATTGGAAATTTTTCTTGGAAATTTTAATGTCCAAAAAACAAAAAATCCGTTCAAAATTGAGGCTCTGGAATCAACTACTGTTTTTTTGAGGTACGATTTAGTAAAGAGAAATGCCTATTTTTTTAAAAGAAAAAATAGCAATCAAGCTTTTTTTCTTCAGGTTAATCTACTTTTTCGGATAACGGATATTTGTATTTGAGATATATGCAAAAAGTAAAAAAAAAACGTTTTATTTATTTAACTGATTTTCAGGAAAATACAAGTAATTAGAAAAATTAATTTAATAAAAAAGAATAAAGTATTAAGAGAGAGGAAACCTATTTCAAATTAAAATCAACGATTCAAGATTCAAAGTTAGAGTTTTTACCACAAACTCAACCTTTCTAATCCCTATATCTTTGCGTCGCGACCTAATGGTGTAAACCTTTGATATTTCAAACTGATATGAACTAACAGTATATCAAAGGTCTTCTGCAAAGATTTAGCACCTGTGTATCGAGGAGAAACTATCCGGAATTGAATTCTGAAAAAAAGAATAAAGTTTAATTTCGAAATGCAAAACTTCCATTATTGATTTTCTTTTATGAAACTTATTGAACTCAAACTGGGAATGAGGATAAAAAACGCTTTAAACGTTCCACTCCTTACAGTGTTTAATTAAGTCCTAAAAATGCGTTTTTTAGTTATCTCATATTGTTACTTAATACATTTTAAGACAAGAGAAAATTCATAATAAATCTATACAACCATAGTAAATGATCTAGATGGAGGGAAATGGAGGTGCGGGGGGCATATTTTTAGACCAAGACTTACTTGGGTTGTAAAATATTATAGATAATCTTACCTTGTGCTAGATATTTTATCTACAATCAGCTGCTGTATTGAACCAGGAGCACTTGCTTCAATCACCTATTATATGCATATATACATTGATATATGTTTATATTTATAAATATATACAGAATCAGAGCATGGGATATCTATGCATATTGCATATATTTTTGGTTTGACTGTTTTTTTAACATCAAATGTCAAAACGGCTGTGACGATGTGGCTTAATTTTCCAACCCCTTGGAAGGTTTAATGTCGGTTAGAATTCTAAAAAGTATTTATTAATAAATAAACTGAGCTGAAAACTTTAGAATGAGATATCCTTAATCCCGATTACTTAATCTAACTGTCCAATGGACACACTTTTGATTTTCTTCTTAATCCTCTCTTTTGTATAAAAGTATACTATTGAAAACAATTACAGAAATGATGCTATATAGATTGGACTAATAATATCCGATTCATCTGAAGTCAGCTGTTCACAAGCGAGCTTTTAGAGCATTTAACAAAAATAAATTTAATCATGTTGATATGAATTTATTAAAAACAAATTTTTTCTCATTTGAGGACTATAGTCATTTTGAACGTTAGTTCTAATAAACATTAATCCAAAAATTCAGTTCCTTTAATCAATCATTAGTTCAATTGATATGACACCATTAACACTAGAAATGTTTTGAAACTAAAAACCGGTTTTTCAAAAGTTAAAGAGCGCATCTAAACTTGACACGCTGTTTTCAGCTAAAGTTTTCAGCTCTGAACACTTACACTTTCCTGATATCTATCTTTTTCACATTTGATTGTTTTAACAACAAAGAAATTGAACATTTGCCACAAACTCTGATTTTATACTTCATATCTCAAGACTCAATTACTTTTTATACTAGTAGAACAATAAGATTGAAATTTACACAATCATGTTGCCAAGATATATATGATAATAAGCATGTTTCAGTTTTCTGTTTCTTTGTATTTTGAAAATTTAAAATTTCATTCTCAAGGGATGAACATATGGGAGACCTTTTGTTTTCAACGGAATTCAAAGACACTGCAAGCAAATTAAGCTTCGTTCGATATTAACGCACAGATTGTGTTTTTTAGAAGCGGGATTGCACTGAAATCTTTAAAATAATCAACAATGGAATTGAGTCTTTGCAACCAAATGTCGTAAGTCCAAGATATTTCAAACTTTAGATTCTGTTAAACAAAATCAAATATCAAAGGTTTGGTGGGGGGGGTATAAATATCTGAAGGGCACAGCGTTGACCGTAGAACAACAATTTTGAAAAGAAATGATTTTTAAAAAATCTGATGAAAAAAAATTTCGAATTTTTTAGCCTAAGATGCGGCGGCCACCCATAAGTGTCCACAAAAAATGTCAGCCTAATTGGTCCAGCCGTTTGGCCGGCTATAGGCAACAAATATATATATATGAATGTCTTGTTTCATTATATAGATAACAGAACTAGCTAAAGGGCCCGGCGTTGCCCGTGGAAAAAAATAGTTTTTTAAATTTTTTTTTAAAAATATGAAAAAATGTGAAAAATTTGAAGAAAATTTTTTTTCGAATTTTTAGCCAAATAAAAACAATAATAATAATAAAATTATAATAACAAAAATAACAATTTTTATGATATATATAAAAATAACGATAATGAAGTTATCTTGTAGAATAAGTGAAAGTAATTCCTTTTTTTCGAAATAAGTGATATCGTTTTTCTTTAATTTTTAATTCTAATTTAATTTTTAATTGGTTGCACTTTCCCCTACTCTACACTTTATCCTACGAACAATATTTTTCAAAAGATCTCATTTAGCCCATTAAATATTTATACGAAATGTGTAATTTTAATAAAAAGTACAGTGTTAAAAGATAATGAAAAAGTAAAAAAGAATAAGTAGCAATAATATAGAAAAAGATAATGTGAGCCATAAAAAAGAACTGGAAATAAACGTTGGGATATAAATAAATGTAGTAAATGCACTACTACTATAAACGCTTTTAGACATGTGTCAATCCAAGTTCATCACAAATACCATAGTCAATATCAATCCGGATAGGACTCAGTCTGTATTCTCAGGTATCTGTCTTACAAGATACAATTCAACCCAGAACTCAAGGTTCACACAAATACCATAGCCAATATCAATCCATATATGGCTCAGTCTGTATTCTCAGAGATGGGAACTTTTGAATGGGATATCCTTAATCCTGATCGGATAATTAATCTGGAGATTAAAAATGAGTGGAGAACAAGCAATATTTAATCTGCAGATTAAGAAAAAGAGTGGATTAAGCCTTAATCCTGATATCCACCATTCTAAAGTTTTCAGCTCAGGTATCTGTCTCAATCAGGAACTTAAGGTTCACACAAATACCACATGTATTATTACAATTCTGACGTTTATTTATATTTCTACGCTACAGATTAAGTTAATAAACGTAATTACAAGTTTTGCGTCGTTATATACCTGTGTAGTTAAGCTAATCCCAATACAGGTTTTGCATAGTTACAGACAAAGCTAGGTTAGATTAATCATAATTCAAGTTATGCATAGTTATTTATAAATATATAGTTGCCATCTGAGAAAATATTTATTTTTTGATAAATCCTAAAGCTACTAACATTGTGTTCGTAAAATATTAAGCAATTCGAAGTTATGAACATTTTGTTCTAAATCCAGAACAGAATGTTAACATCCCTAATATACTATTTGTAACTTTAAACAAAGAGTTTAAGTAAACAAAAAACTGTTTCGGAATCGTTAAGCTAGGATTCTTTCTACCAGTGAGTTTAAGTTCAACCAATCGCATATTTTGAAAGGGGTGCTACCGAAAAAGAAGATTAAAAAAATACTGGGGCTTAATTTAAAGTGACCTTCCATTTTTAGAGTGGAATGTTTGATTCACAACAGTAAACTTTAAACCTTAAACTGTTTAAGAATGGCGAACTTGATTATTCTACATAAATAATTGTAATTGTTGAACACTATGTTTTTATATAAGAAATATTAATATATTAATACTTTCTTTTCAACGAAGCAGTAAAAACTAAAAACCTCGCTGAACACAGAATATTTTAGATTTTTGAGGAATATCTGTAACGCCGGCTACGTTGAATTCCCACTGTACGCTAGCGTACACTCCAAGTTTACAGAAATTTAAACACAATTTTTGAGATAAATGCAAAAAGTTTTCTGTCCATTGCAATTTGGGCATTCCCCTTTTGCATGTACACCCTCAGCTAGCTTTTGGTGTGTACTGCAACAATCTGTAGGACAGTGGCCGAAGAAATAGTGGGGTCTAGTGAAGAGTGTGGATGTCACTTAGATTAATTGTGGGAGGGGGGGGGTCTTATTAATTGGATTCCATTTTAATTGGATTTAAAATAAACTAATTAAAAGTTTGCTTACCTATATGCAGTTGACTGAATGACTGTATCGAGTAGATTTTAAAGTTTCTGTCCAGATTATCTCGACCTTCAATATATTTAAAGTTTCTGTCCAGATTATCTCCAGATTATCTCGACCTTCAATATATTTAAAGTTTCTGTCCAGATTATCTCGACCTTCAATATATTTAAAGTTTCTGTCCAGATTATCTAGACCTTCAATATATTTAAAGTTTCTGTCCAGATTATCTCGACCTTCAATATAATTGAGAAATGTTAATATGTTTGTTTCCTCAAAATAAATGGTTTAGCTGCTGAGTGGAAAAGAAAACTCGCCCACACAATATTTCCTAATAACTTTTTTTTGTAAACTTTTGAAAACTTTGCTTAATGTCAGGTTGCAAAGATATAAGAAATCAAAATAGAAAATCTAAAAGTTTTTACCATTTTGAATTTAAAAGTATTTTTGTATTATATTTATATAATTTGTACCTATCTGTTGACCCCTGTGCCACCAACTAAGACTTGCTCCGGGAAGACTTACAACTAAATAAAATCTAATATAAATATTCTTAAGAAATTATACCGAAACTTATAAAATAAGATCAAACCATAATTGTGAGTTGTTTTTAGAGAAATATAGAAAACTTAAATTTTTAATTATAATAAATTATATAGTTCTGAGCTAAAACTAGTTTTTGATACAATTTGATTTTAATTTCCTTGCAAGTTTTGCAAAATGAAAAGGCAAATTTTAGAAAATTATTCTTATAGTTTTTTAAATGGACTATTAATGTATTTTAAGTGACCTTACTATTAAAAAGAGGGGCACACCCGATTCACGAAGCAAATCGATCTTTAAACTTGATGTGGAAGATATCGCCGTTTTTCTAGCTTAAAGGGAGTGACCGGCTATGTAAGGTAGTTGAACTGAGTATGCAGTGTTGGGGAAAACTTCTTTAGGATTCATTTGAGACATATTAAACTTTTTAAAAGTCTGTAAATCCTAAGTTGGGGGTGGTTACGTTTTTTCAGATTTATTTTTTTTAAATTATTAATTAACGACGACATAAAATGTAAAAATATTTTACAATAAACTACAGACGTCATGTTTAGGAACATTTTGAGAAAATAAAAATTAATCTTATCATCGAAAATAAGTAATCTTGTTCAATTATTAGTTTCTATTATCTCATTATTCTAGTTTCTCGTTATTCACAAAGATGTTCGCAGATTTTCTATAGTTATTATTGAAAAGACGACATTTAAAGAATTTGAAGAAATCTGCGAATAAATTCAAAGAAAATTAGAAATTCAATATAATAATGAAAACGAAATAATCGATTTTAGTATTGATTTATTGACAAATTTCTTTTGTGAAATATGTTCCTAGCCATCTAATTAGATTACTGTATAATTTTTACTTTATTTTTCGTTGTCGTTATTTAATAATTAAAAAAAAACTAATTCTGAAAGCGTATCCACCCCCAAATCAGGAGTTTTGAACGTCGAATTTGCGCTCAAACACAGGATTTACAAATCTTTAAAAAGTGAAATATGTCTCAAATGAATCCTAAAGAAGTTTTCCACAACACTGCGTCCTCAGTTCACGATATTTGAATTTCTATTTCCATATTTTTATCTCTAAACATGAACCATGCGAAAAAAATTTTGTCGTTTTTTTCATCCTGTATGTTGCTGTTGTATTTGTTAACCTTTTTCAATTTTAAGATGTTCATAAACACTATTATTGAAGGAAGATGTTCATAAACACTATTATTTTATTAATTTTTATAATTTAATTAATGCTTAAAGCATAAAGTCTGACCGCGTCAACCTTGCTGCACCAGCTAGTCCTGTCCATAGAGGTCGGTACAGTGCAAAATGGGACCAGAAAGGTTGACCTGGATGGAAAATCAAATGTACTATGGCTGACCGTGGGAAATCATTTGCTTTATAACATCAAATGCACATGTAAAATTCCTTAAATGTCGTCTTCCTTCTCCAAAGTTTTAGGGAGTTCTTTTGCACAATGAAACGTTTTGAAACGTTTTGATTGACAGAATTATAGCTACACTTTTGAAATTAAAATGCAGCCCACATCACCCTAGGTTTTATAAGCAACATTTTAATCTGACATATAGCAAACGTTATATCGACTAATCAATTTAGTATTTGGAGAAAAAAATATGATACTTTTGATTTACAGAATTACATTTTTAAAATGATTTCTAATTTTTCTATTTTTGGAGGTTTTAAAATATTTTCTCCTGAAACACTTAATTTTGTATGTTTTTGTTATATTTCACAAATAAATACTTTCTTAACAATAGATGTATATGTTCCTCTCACGTTAACGTTAGGTATAAGTACCAATAACGTTAACGCTGAACGTTTACGTTATATAGAATATATTCAAACGCTTCCTATTACTGTGACGTAACATATAAAAACGCATATTTTATGTTACGTTACATTATCGTTGACATCTCTAATCTACAGTCCTAATGTTTGTTTAAAAACCTCTAAAATTTGGAATATGATTATATAATATATTATATATATATTATATAATATCATTAAGTTAAATTTTGTTGAAATGGGTTTTCCTTCAATACATAAATGTCTCTGCTACATTTTACTTTTTATAATATAATCATCCAAGTAAAAAAGTATTGTTTTTTCTTAAAGAAAATGTTATTTTTCTGTTTTTCATTATTAGTTGTTGACCAAGGTAAGTTAGAAAATTGAGTTTCAGAAAGTTTAGAAGCTTTGCCTCTGTAACAGATTCAGTAATTCAGCTTTTCAGACTTTATACACTGTAAATTTATAGATATTTCCCAGTTTATGAACTGTAAATTCATAGAAATTTCCCAGTTTATGCACTGTAAATTCATAGATATTTCCCAGTTTATGCAGTGTAAATTCTAGATATTTCCTAGTTTATGCAGTGTAAATTCTAGATATTTCCCAGTTTATGAACTGTAAATTCATAGAAATTTCCCAGTTTATGCACTGTAAATTCATAGATATTTCCCATTTTATGCATTGTAAATTCTAGATAATTCCTAGCTTATGCACGATAAATTCTAGATAATTTCTAGCTTATGCACCATAAATTCTAGATAATTCGAAGTATACGTAGCATAAAATCTAGATAATTCCCAGTTTATGCATTGTAAATTCCAGATAATTCCCAGTAAATGCACGGTAAATTCTTAATCCTTCCCAGTTTATGTACTTTAAAAATAGGACATCTCCAAATCTATGCATTGTAAATTCTAGACAATTCACAGTTTATGCACTGTATATCCTGGACCACTCCAAAATATTCACTGTAAATCATTGAAGTTTTCAGTTTACGCACTGTAAATAGGAAACAATTCCTTATTTATGCACTTTCATCCAAAATTCTCAGTTTCTTAGTCTGGGTCAATTCCAAGATTATGCACTATAAATTTGGTACAATTTCAAGGTTATGCCCTGTAAATCTGGTGCAATTCCAAGATTATGCACTGTAAATTTTGTACAATTCCAAGATTTCACCCTGTAAATCTGGTACAATTTTAAATTTATTCACTAGAAATCCGAGAAAAAAAATCCTTGTAAATTAGAGATATGAAGACTTCTCTCAAGAATCAATTTATTAATGAAACCTTAAAATATTCTAGAAATCAATAAAAATTAAAAGTAAAGTATCTGAAATTTCTAAAAAAAAATATTATATTTAATAATTATGATATTAAGTTAGGATAGATATAGAGAAATAGAACTAAATGCTTAATCATAAGTCTTAGAGGAAAACAACGTCTATAATTTTAGAAAAACACTGCAAACTAATAGTCACTAAGTTGAATAATCTTTGTAAGTAATTAAAATTCACAGAATTGACCCCGAAATTAAGTCCCCACAAGTTTGATCCAAGTCTAAGAATCCTTTTTCTATCTACCATAATTAAGATATTTTATGTAAAGTCTTCTTGAAAAATCTTTACAGTTTCAACACAAAGAAATATGTTTGTACAACTTTCTTCCATCTTCTAAGTGGATTGCTCAGAATGGTAAGATTTAGCTAACAGTGTAAGAATTGCATAACTTTTATTTTACAGAAATAATACTTTATCATTAACAGCAGACTCCTTCATCAGAAAGTTCACAGCAGTAAGTCTCTGCTCTCTCGGTGAGAACTCCAGCAAGAACAGGCATGGCAGCAGGCATGAAAGCATCAATGTAGACACCACATCCCTCAGCAGCTCCAGTACCAACACAGAAACCATCTCCCTTCAAGAAATCAATGATTTCAGCAATTTTGGCTTCAGACTCAATGACACCAGCAACAGCAGTGATACTACCGGTACATTCATCACAGGTTGGTGCTTTAACAATACTCTTCTTACCACATGCTCCAAGAAGGTCACACACACTGTTGGCCTCAAGGAATACAGGGTACATGGCCAAAGCAATTCCCTCCCACCAAGTTCTTACTCCAGTCTCACATCCAGCAGGGTCATCAAGAAGAGGACAGACGGAGGCAACAAGGATCTCAATTTGCTCCTCTATGCTTCCAGCACTCTGGAGGTAGCCTCCGAGCTTGCCTGCAAAAGACAGGCAGTCATCGCAAGTGAATTCAGCACTGGCGGAAGAGGCAAGGCAGGTCAGGGCAATAACAATAAGCATCTTCATGTTCAGACCTCTTCTGTTTCTTCTGTAGGAGGAGAGTAGAATACATTTTTTTTCTCACATTTGACTTTTATACCTGGTGTTATCTATTATTATCCAAAAACAATAACTTATATAAGTTCTGTATCTTTTATAATATGTTTGTTCTACAAGTGAAAAGATAAGAATCTCTTAGGTCAAACAGGCATCCTGTTTGACTATCTAGCAGAAAAATATCCCTATCCTTGTTCTGTATTAAGATTAATTCTGCCCCATAATTTGCTAGATTTCAATATTTCATTAAATGTAACATGCAAGTAAATTATGAAGGGATTTTTGCTGTATCGGCTTGACTTGTAGCAAAAAGATAAGAATAATGTTGGTTAAACACCCATATTTGCTTTACACAAAAATGTTTTCTTGCAAATTTGCATATTTTAAGTTCAAGGTGTCTCAGAAAAAAAGAATTTTCTGTTTGATTATTTTTGTTTTGTTGACACTAATTAAAAGATTTTTTTATAACAGTTTGAAGTTTGGCATTCTAGCTTGGTTAAAAATTGATATTAGTGATAGTAATTGTAAAAGGAAAACATTGTTAAAATATTAAAACAAAGGTCGTCCTACTTCAATCTTAACTACCTGGGTCTTCCGATGTATACCCAACATCCACTGTATGGGTATTTTCAACATGAGGGAATTATCCACATGTTAAAATTCATTCACTCATTATCAAACAGAGCAGTAAACTGCATAGTTAGTTAAATATGTTTTAAAATTATTTGATTTTGATTATAACCTACAATATTTCAGAATTATGTAAACCATCATTCACACTGGACTACATGTCCAGAAACCTCTACTTTTATGACTTTTTTTTCGGCTTATGTA